TGCAATTGGCAAACCAGACAGAGGTGCAGTAAGCTAAGATACTCTCTATGGTGCAGCGGTAGAAGATCACCAGCAGTTTTTCATTCAGTTGTTGTTTTCTGAGAGGTCTCAGGTAGTATAATCTATGCTGGGCCCTTTTGGCCATGGCTGCAATGTGAGCACCCCAGGTCAGGTCCTCTTTTAGGGTAACACCCAGAAACTTAAAACTGGCCACTTGCTCCACTCAGTCTCCATTGATAAGCAAGGGCTGGATGTCTGATCTGTTCCTTCTATAATCCACTATAAGCTCCTTGGTCTTATTGGTGTTGAGGACCAAGTTATTGTCTCCACACCCCACGAAAGCACTAATGTCTTATTTCTCTTAACTTTTTTGCACACTTGGCTGAGAGGTAGCCATCTAGGCAATTGTGATGGTACCATCCCACCAGACCTTTGAGTGCCACAACATTGAAAGGACAATCTTCTTTATATACAATTGATGGGACCTTTGAGTATGTAAAAATATTGGAGTTCAAATGATCCAAATTGTTATTATTTTTTCAATGCTATATATCTATGAGGTTCGAGCAAGCCATTTCAGTCTCCGGATCCATAAGTTTATTAACTGGAATGCAATTCATAACCATTATTGGCCCCAAAGTCCTGTTTTGCAATATAAGACCAATATTAATGTCAAAACGATAGAGCAGAGCTGCAAAAAAGGAACCTGGTAGAAGCTTCAGCAATTCTAATTTGAATTATTATTAATAATTAGATTAAATGTAGCAGTCCACTCTAATTTCATTTATTTATTTACAACATTAAAACAACTGTTCGTCTTTTAACCAGTTCTGGGCAGCTCCACATCTTATGAACACTATAACATTCAACTGATTAAAACGTTAAAACAACTGAAGCCTGGTGCCAATTCAGATCTCCAGGCAGCTTACAAAAAATAAAACTATATCAAACCAATTAAGGACATAAATTAAACAAGACAGGTTGGACTAAGCAGCCATTAAAACTGGAGATGATCCAACTGTCCACCTACATGCACATCCAGCCCCTTCAGATGTTGCAAAAAACAACAACACCCCAGATAAATGCATCAACATTTCTAATGAAGACCCAACCCTCCAACCAAGATCTCATCCAATCCTTGGAGACTCTATTTTTTTTTTTTTTTTTGAGGTTCTCATCCATACCTGTCCAAAGCACCATCCAACTTCTCCATCCAAGAATACCATGTACTCCATTCATCAAGTATGGTGGCTTTGTCTGCATTGTATAAGCAGAAGATCTTCAGGCTTCGTGGTTTCAAAACCCAAATCTGGAACCATCAGAGATCCTGACCAAGATTGATCCAACAGGAGCTTGGCAAATCAGATCTGGACACCCTCTTGACTTCTGACTTCTTCATTGCTAACCAAAGAGGTGTGGCTGGATTCACAAACCGAAGAGGTGTGGCTGGATTCACATCCGGTAACGGGAAAGGATGAAAACTCCATAATGCAGTATATTTAGAACCAGTAAAAAATTTATTTGCTAAAAGAACATGAGTCACACAGTTTACTAATTACAAAGGGCTATGCAAAGTCCAATGTCATTTTTCATTTATGAGGTTTTGTGATCATTTGGCCTTGGACTGAGTATTTTAGAAGCATCTCACCCAATCTTCTACTGGTTGACAATATATGGGTTTGAAGAATTGTTCCAATTTCCTGATCTATTTTAGATCAGCTTTATTCACAAAGTTGTGGGTATTGCACAACATGATTTCTGACATTTCCTGATGGCTTCCCACAAGTCCTTGGGGAAGCCAACAGGAAGTCGGAAGTCACTCCCATACCTGCTTTTTTCCCCCACCTGTGGTCTTTCTGTTTCTCAGTTCAGGTAAGGAGATATTGATTTATTACT